TTTTCTTGCAAATGTTTCATTACCCGGCTAGGTAACATCTTCACTGCTAAAATGCGATGGGATTTGCTCTCTATTTATGTGCTGTGGCCTGGCTTGCCAGTGCTGGTAAGGGTGGGGGTTGTGTTGAACCCTGAGCTACACATATTCACCTCTATTGGTATCAACAATAAATAAAAGACGTATTAATCTGTTGCAATGGAAACATAGCAGTAGAAGTTTGTGGCAGTTTTTAAAGACTTAGCCAATTAAATTTGATATAACATTTTATGGATCAATTGCTTCTCGATAAGACTATGGTAAATTTACATCTGCATTTATGTCAAAAGGACCTCTTTATGTCCTAGATCCATATTTCATTTTTGAGCATTTGAATATAATATAATACTCAGATTAAAAGCACACTCAGGTAGGGAGGAAAAATGCAACCATAAACAGCAATAGGATACAAAAAGCTGAGACAGCATCGGCTTCTGGGGGGAGGGTAAGGGGAGCAAATGGCCACACGTACCCATCCCTAATGATTTAATCATTCAAATACCACAATTTACCTACTTGCATCAGACCTCATGACACAAACACATCACCATACCAACTACATCATGAAATCAAATCAAATAATGAGATCTCCAAATCACGGCATTTGTATGATGATTACATCATTTTTTGTGTTGCCATTTTGGCTTTACTGTGACTTGCTGCCGATATCACTGAGGGACGGTATTTTAAAATAAAAACAGCACAAAGCAATTAGACACTTCTCTGAAAACAGCCCATGCTGTTTGTTCCTAAGAATGTAAGACTCTAATGCTATTTTGTATTCATATTGGCACTGCGCATTAAAAGCCGGCAGAGCTTTGATCCCACCACCATGGCCACCATCTTGACTTCTTTGACTGCCCTCTGTGGACAACCCTGAACCCTCACGACAGTTGGACATTGAGAAAGGGGGATGGAAAGCAGATCAGCGGTTTTGAATTATGGATCTGGAGATAACTGTAAAGATTGTAGGAAGAGCTAATTAGCCCCAGACCAAATAAATGCTATGGGGATGGTTCTACAAGCCAAAACTCACATGGTTTGGGCTCGGGGTGTAAATGGATGAGGACAGAGTAGGAAAAAACGATCATGGGTGCTGAGGCTGCTGGAAGTCGGCCTGAAGACAATGGATAAGGTGGGTGGATGGGATCAAGGAGATCCCAGGACTGTCCTGGCAGATCGGTAAGCTAGGACTAAAGACGGGTCGAGGTGGAGAGCATTTGTCCATATAGCCAGCAGGCGTTATGCCCACCTGTAAACAATATGATCTTTTAAACGCTCGGATACAATTGCATCTCCGACAGCCCTGAGGTAAACAGGGAAGTCTCAAAAGCCGAGAACGCTTCTCTCCCGCGACTGGACAGGAGACTCGTCCATCAATCACAAAGGCGGGCTTAACAGGCTCTCTGCCGCCGCTGATTGGCGGCGAGAGTTCGTTCATCGGTTTGAGCGGGAAGGCGCGGCTGAAGCGAACCCGGAAGAGAGGTGCGAGAGCCGCGCATGCGCCGCCATGGCAGGCCGCGGTTGGGACCGGCGGGTGTTTCCCGTTTGCCCCCGGGGGGGGGTTGGGGGGGGGGTCCTCCCTGGGGGGGTGGTGGGGGCTCTGGGGGGGGGTGGCGG